TTGCAGCTGTTCTGTAAGCAGTGGAACTCAGAACATGTATATGGGGGAAAATAACCAAGCTTCCCTAAGATCTGTAGCAGCAAAAATACACATTCAGAAAAACATACATTCAAGATAGGGCTCTTTGTATAGCCAGTTTCTCTTGTCTAGCAGTAAAAGTATTAGATATGTAAACCACAATGGAGCTAATCATTTGAAAAGGGAGCCATGTTTTACAAACGTGTACATTATATTTGTGCAGGTCTTTGCCTTTAAAAAAAAAAAAGATGTTCCTGGTGGCTTTGCTGTTTGAATTTGGAACTAGTGCACATCTACAAAGGAGAGAATAATTGAGGAGTCAGAGGGTCTCAAAATCGTTCGGGCCAAATCTTTTAGTTTTAAAAAACATCAAAATGCTCTTGCAATCACAGCTGGTCGGAACTCGACCTCGAACTGTAACCTCTGGATTCCCGTCACGGTATCTCTTGGTCAGGTTGCATTTCTTTGTGGCTTCGATGCACGTGGGTGACCTGTACAGAACGGAACCAGTTTGGTGAATACACCCGAGCGAGCAGTTGATGCTTTAAGCACAGAGTGAACCTACGAGGACAGCAGGTTCTCGCCACTTTGGAGCCAGAACGCCACAGCAGATGCAGCCAGCCGGCCCCACCCCAGGCGGCGCGCTCTCGGGCTGCCTGGCCCGCGGCCGCACTGTCCCAACAGCGCCCCCCTCTGTGCGACAGCGGCCTTGCGCCCGGCAGTCACCGGCCAGGCGATTTTTTTTTTTCGTGGGCAAATGCCACCTCCCGGCTTCTCTATGCTGAAGGACAGTATCTCTTTGCCTGTGCCCCCTTGGCACACAGACACACCCCACCCTCACCCAGGGCTGTTTCTTACCCAGCGGCCCAGTCCTGCCACCAGGTACCACTGTCCCCTTCCTCTCCAGATAAGAAGGGGCAGGTTAGCACGACGCGGGCCCGCCAAGGTTTTGGGGTCCCTAGAGGCCGGATCGGACAGGGGGTTAACTAACATAGGTCGCGGGCGTGCAGATGAGGACACTTGGGGCTCGGGGTTTTGCTCCAGGCCCGCCATGCCCCAGGCGGGGACCCTCCGGGCCTCAGTCGCTCCCGGACCCAGGCGGTGTGTCCTCGGCCTCTCCGGTCCGGCGCCGCGCCGAGCATCTGCAGAACAAAGACCCAGGTCGGGCCCAGGATGGGGATCGGCGCCTCCCGTGGCCCCCGGGCAACCAGCCCTGACCTAGCCAGCGGGCGGCGGGTCCCCGCTGCACGTGCGCGCGCCCTCCACCCGGGAGGGTCCCCTGGCGCGTGGAAACGCGGAGGCCCTGAGAGCCATCGGTATTCAGTGCTGCCTCCCATTCCTCACCCGCCATGGAAGGTCTTTCTGCAACATCCCTGTTTTATTTTTGTGACTGTTTCCCCCCAAGCAGCCAGGTTGTCATTTTGAGGCTCGCGGTGGCCACGGTGGAAGCAGGTGGGGCCGGCGAGCTGCAGGTCGGCGCTGTAAATCGCTGTCTTTTTGTGGCTGTTGTTCCCGCTCACCCGCCACCCCAACCCCCACCATCTCCCCACCACCACCACCACCACCTCCCCCCCACCTTCCCACCCCTTTCCGCAGCGCCGTTGCTATGGGTTACCAGGGCGGTTGCCATGGGTTACCGGACCAAGGCCGGCTGGCTCGCTACCTGCCACCCAGTCTCCGCCACTGGCCGAGCAGCCCGCGCGGAAGGCGGCGGGAGCGCGCGTGTGCGGGACGCGGCGCGGGGAGCGCGCAGCAGCCGCCGGGCGCCGCAGCCAACAGGCTGCCGAGCGCGCAGCGGGAAGCGCAGCGCGGTGGGTGGGGGGCACAGCCATAACCAAGGCCAGAGGTAAGGACCGAGCAAAAAAACCCGCCACCAGTGCTGCCCGCGCCGTGCCTCTCGCCGCAGGGACAAGCGCTGCGGGCTTTGGGAGGAACCGCCACTTCTCGTCCCGGGAGCCAGGGTATTTTCCTCTCTCGCATAAGCCATGTGCATAGTGTCTTTAGAACAGAGTTGGTGTTCAGCAGAAAATTGTGGCTTGTTTTTTTTTTTTTTTTCTCTTTTCCTGTATGTCTTTTGGAAAGAAGTCTTTGGAATGTTGGAGAAGAAAGGGTCATTAAGTACCAGAGTTTGCGCAGCTAAAATAAATTAGTGTCCAATAAACTGTTCATTATGAGGATTTCCAAGTTTCCTCCAAGAGTGAAGGGCAATTGTGTCTGACTTAAAGGGCCAGTGGTGCCTCGATTCTGAGATGCACCGGGCAAAGAAAGAATAGAACCCAAATTCTTTGTAACTATCTCAGATTTAAAAGAAATTGTTGATTTCCATCCTTCTAATTTTTTTTGAATTCCACTTTATTAAAATGCATAAATTTCTTATGACCTTTATTTGCAAAGAAAATTGTATTTGTGCTTTGAGTGTCAAATTGCAATAACGAATTTCAGACAGCATTTTGTATTTGGAAAAATGTGTTTATATATAACAAACTTAGAAAAGGTCTATAGTCTAAAACAAAAGCACTAAATTGTATTGAAACAAATCGTTTCTTTTGTTGAAAAATGTTGCATTGGATTCATGGGATACCAACTAAGTAATTTAAATATGAAGAGGGAGACGATTTATAAACAAGAATAAGGTTTTGTGATTTTTGTCTTCAATTTTTAAGGCCTTTCATGTAAAAGGGGTCTTCCCTTACAGCTCAAACACTGGGAACGTTGTTTGTCAGAACCACAGTACCTCAGTACTGAGAAATCCCTAAGGCATCAAGAAAACAAACTGAGTTCAAAGCAATATTCAACTTACCATTGCTGGATGTAAGGTAACTGTGGCTAAGCTAAATGAATGTGTTTCAATTCTTAGTTGTCACATAAGAGACATTTTACTCCTTTAGTTTTCTATGTTACATACCACTTGTTTATATTCAATTATGTAATAAAGTGTGACCTAAGCTTGAAGAGCTCTGGCAAGATACAATTAATATCTTAAGGGAGGAAAACTTCTATAATAAACATTTGTGGTTTCCCCCTAGTAATTGTTTAACCTTAAATTTTTAACTAGAACTAGGTCACTTTCTTCCAAGTAAGACTTTAAAAGAAGCCTAAGTAACAGGTTGTTGACTTTCATGGTCGACATGTCTGTGTATATATAAAGTCAGTTCTAAAACAAGCTGGCTTTCTAGGTGAATAGTCTACCTTTGAAAATTAACCAGGGAAATACAGCTTTACTGAATGTAAGTCATAAAGCAATCAGGATTAGAATTCTTTAAATTTAATTCACATTAAGAATAGTATTAAATAAATACCCGGTACTTTTTAGTTTAGTTGCCTACGTAAACCGGTACTTTTTAGTTTAGTTGCCTAAGTAACTACTTTCTTTTCCTAAAGGAAGCTTTAAATAGATATGCCAGAGAAAAATAAGAAACAAAGCAAGAAAACCAGTGGGAACAGAAGTTCATATCAGTATTTCAGCTGCAAGCAATCAGTTTTAAGAAGGTAGTGATTAGATATCAAAACATCCAAACGAAGGCGACTATGGACAGATGAAGCAAGGACCAAATCAAGGTTCACCAAAGCTCTTCGTAAAAAAATTACCAGTAATTCAAAAACATACTGAACTTATGTCTTGGTCAGAAGAAATAGTCTCTTATGTAAAATAAGTGATCCCACAAGTTGATTTTTCCATGTTTAATGTGAAAACAATGACTTCATGAAGTTTACAGAATAAATGTTAAGCATTTGTTCATATTAATTTTGTTGGCTATGACAGTTGGTGGCACAGTATATGCTGTTCAGAAGTGCTGTGAAACAGAAATATTGTGACTTCAAATCCACCTTGCTGAGGAGCTAGAGACTGCTCTTGAGAGACCCTGATGCCAAATTTTACATGTCAACAAGATGATAAGAAATGGCTACATCTTCGCCTTTATGCATTAAAAGAATGAGTCTTTGATGATAAAATTACAGGGTCAAAGACACATTAAATCAAAATATTAATAATTTTTTGACCAAAGTGAAAAAAAAGAAGAAATTAAAGAAATCATTCTTATTTTAAATTTAGTTATTTCTATTGGATGTTTTTGTTTTTATTTTTTTGGTCAGTTCTTTGAAACAAGCATTTCAAAACTTTTTAATAATACAGTAATTTTTTAACTCCTACTTAAAATAAAATGGCCACTTTTTGCAGTAGTCTTTACTACCCTCCAACTAGACTGGATAACATTTAATTAAAGCAACAAGTTATTCCATTTATGTAAAAATATCTTCCTGCTTAGTTTCACAGAGATATTTCGGACCTGTGAGGCAAGAAAAAACCCTGGTAATTACCTCAAGAAAACGCTGCTACATCTGAAATTTGAAGTTCAAAGTAGTTTATATAAGACATCTTATCTTTGGGCCACTAAAAACATAAAAGACATTTTATTAAAATTATACCAAAACCTTCAGGTAAACACATTAAAAAAAAGGTTTTAAAAATGAATAATGAATTCTGAAATTAGCAAGTTGATATCCTTTCCAAAATTAGAGGAATATTCATTAATAAAATTAATTTTCCTAATATCCTCTGATTTTAAACTAAGCAGTAAGCAGTCCCCACTGATGATGAAAGCTATCTATTGACAAAAAACAAATGTGCACATGTAGTCAGAAAATAAGTCAAAAAGAAAAAAAGGAAAGAAAATAAGTCATTAAGCTGTAATTCGATTTCTACAATGATAGTGCAAACACATTTGTTGCCAGAAACCATGTTTGAGTTGATATTGGACAATGAAAATGTGTATCTGAATCTACCCATTCGAAGTCTACATAAAATTATTATCACTATTTGTTTTTTTTCCTAAGATGTAAACATTATTTTAATGTCTCTATTCAGTAAGGTACATTTTTCATCTAAGTTTGAGATAGAATACTGGAAAGGTTAAATACTCTTAAATATTTTAACCAAACAAGCACAGTGTTTTGCTAGTGCAGGGGAGGTAGCCACCTTGCAGCCACATGCCTTCCAGACGGTCTGCTCCACGCTGTCACCCTTCCTGTTGGCTAACATCACATATGCTCGTCTACAGTAACTGCCTGGTTCACAGAGCAGGAATGCTGTATCTGGATTTTAAACACACCTACGTACTTATCTTTTGAAATTCAATAAAACCAACTAAGTCTTTTTCAAACATATAAATCATTTCAACTGAGGGCAGGATCTTGTTTACTGGGACTGTTTGGCGATGCAGGGTAGTATGGCATTCACAGACTTTTTGCTTTATACAGAAGCTTGGCTAAAATTAGACAACATAAAAACACCTACCACTAATAAACAACCCAGCCTCTTGAATTCAAATACCTAATGTCATGACGGTGAGCTTCAGGTTAGACTATACTATTAGCAAGCGTTTTCCTCTATGACTGGACACACGCTATTCCTAAGAGAGTAACATGAGAATTCCTTTTCAGGATTCTTGTGGAGCTGTACTTATTTTACATCCATGCGAACTGTTATCGTCGCTACTGTGTCCCAGCCCAGAGGATGAACTGGAAAAGAAGAGAGGGGGAAAATAATAAAAAGAGGAAATTGGTTTTCACAACACACTCAAAGCCTGAGTAACAGAGGAGAACTTTAATTATCTCCAGTCACAAAGAGAGACAGGAAATTTGGACTTTTAATTAGCCATTTGGAGTGCAGTTGGATATTTTTTTAGCTAGATAATTTAAACGCGAATAATTCAAGTCTGACTAAATGAAAGTCACATAATCAGAATGCAGATAATTGAATTTCTACTGCATTCATTAATTCAGTGTGGAGGTGTGTGTGAAGACTACTGTGATGAGCTGTCACAGCTCAATAAAATCTCAGTCAATTAATTTTTTCATTATCTTAGTATTACATCAACAAAAAAGCAGAGAGAGTGTGTATATCTGTGTGCGTGCATGTGTGCACTGTGTGTTATATCAATACGTGTACAGTAAATCAAAATGCAAGGAAATACCTTTCCGAATCATAATCTGCGTCATGTTCTTTTTTTCCTTCTTCGTCTTCTTCAGGGAAGCGTCGGTTCATCAACGCAAACTTGTGGATTGCTTCTTCCACTGAGTACTTGGTCTGCCCAGAAACACAAGCCTCGATGTCCTCGGAGTTCAGGTGGCTTTGCAGGAAGAGGTGAAGGCTGCTGTCTGAGAGCAAAAGTGCGTTCTGCAGGACTCTGTGTAAAAGAAAGAAAGGGTAAAAAGTAACTGGTGATCAGGATGGACAGACTTGGGGTAGGAGAGACACAAGAAGTGCACCACCGAAGTCATTTCTCTACCTTGCTAAACTCTGTGTTGAGTATGAGCTCTGCCCATTAACGGGACAAAAGCATATGTTAACTTTTATTGAATTATTTGGAAATTTAGGTGAGTAAAAACATGAAACTAATAGTTAAGAACATCTGTTAAAAGAATAACTTCAAGGACATTTCTTCAATTTAACCATCTGTCATGACCATGTGGATTAATTATGGAAATATTTTGCTTATAGAGTCAGATAAATTTATTCTACTTTTTAAAATTTATTGCCAACAGCACATCAATTCAGCAATCTTTATTGACTAGGTTGTCATGAAATATCAAAACATTCAACTATTATTAAAAATTATTTGAAAAAGTCAATATACTTCTCAGCATGTTTTTACATCGTAAAACTTTACAAGTGTGATTATGTATAAGCACATGTGAACAGGGCTCATTTGAGCGGTAGCTTTCTTTTGCTGGATTGGGATTTGAACTCAAGGCTTTGTGCTTGCAAAGCAGGCACCCTACTGCTTGAGCCACGCCTCCAGTCTACTTTTTTTTTTTTTTTTAATCTAAGGTTTACTAGAAATTTCTCTAAAAGCCAGGTGTGTAAAAGGATCATCAGTTCAAGGCCAGTCTGGTCTATAAAGCAAGTTCAAGACCAACCTGGGCTACATATCAAGACCCTGTCTCAAAAGTATTAAAACAAGAAATTTCTCCAAAGTCTTCCATAGCACTGCATCTCTATGATGTCAAAACAAAGCCACCAAAGAAAACTAACTCCAGGCAACTTTACTGTATGTAACTAAAATCCAATAATTCTATGGTAATTATATACTAGTCTTTCCATATGAAAGATTAAAGTTTACAACAATAGTGCAGATTTCAACTAATGCATCAGAACTTCATGTAGGATTAAAAACTACCATGTAGCAAACCTGATGCTCAAATTCATACTATCAGAGGATGTGTTTTTTCTGAAATGCATGTCTTAAGAATAGGAAATCAAAGCAAAGCATATACTTTTAAATTTAAATAAAAACTAGTTTCATTTTTAGCAAAGATTTTGATGTATGACAATTTACTATTTATTAGCAAATGATCTAACGGGAAACACTAAGGCCAGATGTAAAAAATGAATCTAGAACACTACACTTCAACTATTATTCTGCCCAACATGGGATTTTTTTCATATGGAGATGTATGAAAAGTAGATCATATATTTCAGACCAAATGAACCTTACCTTATACTTTGCATGTTTAAATAAGTAATTAGAAAAATAATTCTCTTCTGGCCATTAATATCAATTTAGTTAAACTTCAAGGTCATTACAATGCCAAGTCCTTTTCTTCAAAATGAAACGATTATTTCTTCTAGAACACAAATGTCTACAAAAGCTGATATTGAAACTAAAATCTAGATATCCCCTTTTCTGAGAAAATAGTCTTTACTAAAGGTCTACTAAAAGGAAAAGCAAAATCTTTGTTTTTTTAAAAAAGGAAAAATGTCAAGCAAAGCAGCTACACACTTCCTCTCTCTGTGTCCTTGGTCCCCAGTTCTCCCAGATGACCGCGTCACAAGATTCACTTACGAAGTACAAGTAGCCAAGCAGTAAATCCTTTTTACCATTCCGAGATTTATTTTCTACATTTACAAATGTTTGCCTTTTGTTCGAAATACTTCAGATTAGGGAAGAGCCCTACAGCAACAGCCCACTCATATGAACTTGGACTCGCTGTGCAGTTCTGAGCAGAGCATTTCCTGTGGCCTCCTGTTGGTCACTTCCTGCCAGCCCCAGGACAAGTAACTGTTCACGGGGATTACACTCACTGCTTTGTTTCTGCTGGAAATGTGTTTTATTTTCTTTATAAAATAATGGGTAATCTTTAAAATTGATTTTAGATGGTTTGAGGCATTACAGCACAAAAGTAATGAGCACTAATGCCAATGATATTGGACGCAAATTCATTTTAGCTTTATTTCACGTCTAAAGCAATTCTACTGAGCCTTGAACTGCTCGCGCGCTGTTATTAACTTGCTAGTAACCTAACACATGTGCACGGCAAACAAAAGTGATCAGAGTCCAGGTTGATCGGGACCTCAAGGCTACTGTCCTTTTTCTTGAGCTATAATTCAATTTCCAATTTTACTCTACATTAGACTCATGATGTCCTAGTGTTTTCTCTTCTGCTCAATACTGCCACCTGGAGGACACACAGGGAACCAGGGAGCCGGCTCACCCAGCTCACAGTAAGAAGAGAATGGGAAGCTGAGGCTGGGGAAGACCATCTGAACACTCACACAACTCAGACTCGAAAACCAGTGTGCCTACAGGGCATGGTTTTGATTTTTGGAATCTCTTCTGTCTTGCTGGTAAATTTACGCCACCTTACTGAATAGGGATAACTCTTAAATAGGCAAAAATATCTTAAAGTACATTTATGCCTTTTATTTTGCAATCAGATTTTTTTTAAAGTTTTACAGTAAAATTTTAAATGTAAAAAATTTGGAAGGGGTTTTCCCATCTGGTTCAGAGAGTGTGATTACTTCATCTGGAGTCATCTTTGGTTTACTGTCTCTCAAAAAAGGTTGTGACTGCCACCATCCTAATAGTAAATCCTATTTTTTCCTTAGTCATATTTGTGCCACATTTCCCACAAACAAATCTAATAGCAGAAAACCAACTTCAAACTTGATATAAAGAGTACTTTGTAAAGCAGTCAATAAAATGTCATTGTTAGAAGCCTCTGTAAAAATGTTTGTGATTTTTCAAGCCTTTATAAAAAGAGTGAAAAACAACCTCCAGAATTTAAAGAAATTAATGGTATTTATGATGCAAGTCAAAAGTTATTCGTTTCCCCATAACAACTTTAAACTAAACAAAGAAAGACCTGCTTTTTCCCCCTGAATGGGACACAGTTGAAAATCTGGTTTTCCTCAACATGATTTTATTAGGTGTGTTATATAGTGGTTTAGTAGAGAACGATATACAGTTACACAGAATCATTTCATCCTCACTGAGGATGTCCTGGGTCTACTAAAGCCAATATACTGATGTCTACACACATTTATTAAAAAATAAATAAATAAACCTATAAATTTTTGTTGAAGGATATTCATGATCTGTGCTGTGGTGCCCTCTATCGAACACAAAGACTTATAAAAATTGTGTGTGTGTGTGTGTGTGTGTGTGTAAAACTAGTCTTTGTGAAAAAGAGAAAGAAAGCACTAAAGAAAGAAAGACAGGAAAAGACTTTAAAATGAAAAAAAATATATTCTTTATTATATACACACATATAAAAAGAGGTATTTTGGTTTCATAGAATTTGAACGTATGTAGTGCTTCTGGTTCATAACTTACATAAAAACCAGATTGTAAAAACACAAGCTAAAATTCTGTAATTCAAGCACACTACACTTTACACTGTGATTACTGGAGGTCTCCACAAACAAGGTACAAGGTACTGATGAGTGGCCCTACTTAATAAGTAACCAATGGCACCTCACAGGATACCCAGCTTGGGTCAGTCACAGTGCCAAATTGCACATCACACCCAATTTTCCTGAGTGAGTTTGGGTGAGGTTACAGGGGAAGGGCTCCAGAGGCAAAAACATGGAGGGTGCTACTTGTGCAAAACTGGGAGAATGGAGAAGCTGTGCATGGGAATCTAAGGACCACAGAAAGGAGGGACTCAGAGGTCAGGTCAAGTCTGAAGCCAACTGGGTGCAATTAGAATCCTTGTTTCCTTTACATTCAAATCACAGAGAAGTCCCAGCTTTCATTTTTAATGTGAAACTAACTAGTTTGGTGACAAATAACATTGCAAGAAAACTGCATGTGAGCAGAATGGTTTGACTTCTAGATGGTAACCCAGATCCAGTTTCTAGGAATCTAGCCACAGTCCTGACATATACACAGTGCTTCCCCATTAGAACGGAAGCTTCAATAAGGACTTGGGTCCATTCAATGTAGTCCTATATCCCTGGCATACAGTCTGGCCCAAAGTTGTCACTTAATTAACATCTGTTGAATGAAGAATCACTACATTGCTTTCAGAGTCATTTCTAAGTAATCATCTTAACAATACAACCTCCCAGTGAGCTCAGCAATGTGTGGGTATGTCCTCTCACTCTACAGAAAACCAAAGGATTCAACTGAATCAAGGGACTTCCAAGGTTGCATAGCTAGGAAAAATCAAGGAGCCAGGATCAATGAGAGACTAGACACTACCTCCTTGAGCTCCTGATCCAGGATACTCTTCACTATGACAGATGCATCAAACAAAGCCAGCAAACAGCCAGACAATACAGTGCACACAAGCATAATCCCACAGTGGCAAAAGACCCTCACTGGTGTTTTAACTTAGCAGACCAACTATGGATGGAAAGGTTATATTCAAAGCAATGAAATGACTCCTTGACACATGCCCAGAGGCTGGGCAAGGTGGTAGCTCACACCTATAATCCCAGCTATTTGGAGGCAAAATTCAAGGCCAGCCTGTGGAAAAAAACTAGCAAGACCCATCTCAGTCAATAAGCACAGGCATAGTGGTACATGCCTGAGATCCCAGCTACATGAGAGGCCACAGGTAGGAGGACTACAGACTGAGGCTGGTCTGGGCAAAAAAACAAAACAAGAGACCCTACCTGAAAAATAAAAAGCCAAAGAGACTGGGGGCATAGCTCACATAGTAGAATACCTGCCTAACAAGCACAAGGCCAAGAGTTCAAATCCCAATACTGCCCGCCTCCAAAAAAAAAAAAACCAAGAAATGAAAAACATACCCTACACTTAACTAGTGACACAAATAGAAACACTTGCTGTTCTTTAAGCTCAAATAAGGTGCTTTCTTTACAGCAGATGAGCAGCTTCCCAGTGCCCAGGCCTCCCTAGAGGTCACCAGGCTGCTGCTTCCCTAGACAGCATCTGGAAAGGAGGCCACTCTGCAAACTTGAGCTACATCTTAAAGCAGAAGCCAGCAGCCCCCTGGGCCTGTAGAGGCAACAGTTAAACTCAGGGCTGCTCCTGAAGGGGAAGGGCAGAAAACCTGACCAGCTCTTTGTTCTGCCATGCTCACTACACCCAAAAGAACAGCACTGTGATGTTTGTGGAGGGGAAAGGGGGAAGAAGGTGGCTCCACTAACCAGTTCTCCTGGGCTCTATTTCTCTTGCTTCTCTTCCTTTTCCCACCCTCCCTTAATTCATAAGCTTGAATCTTTCTGCATATCTCTGTGACCCTTTCAAAGGAAAGGCTATGTCAATCTAAGAGAAATAAGTATTAATATTCATGTACACACTTAATACTCAGGTTCTTTATGAGCCATATGGAGAGAAGCAGCGTGTTATTTCAGCGAGCTCTGGGGCCCTGTTTAGTGAATTCAGAAGGAGATGACTTCAGATCTCGAAGCCACTAGGAAGAGCATGGATGCTCCGGAAACTGGGCCCTGCTTCTAACTAAGGGCTCACATGACTCAGCTATTTCCTTACTGGGATATAGAAAGCTAGAAAAATAAGCTCAAAGTCACTTTGTTTCTACATGCATTACAATAATTATGGCTTAAGTCCAGCACCACTGATAATAATAATACTAGCCAATAATGACAATAACAAATAATAGCTCAGACATAAGGGCAGTCCCGCTCTATGGCTCTATGCCAGGTGCCGTGGTAAGCGCTTTATGTTCATTAACACAATGCAAGGGAGGTACTATTTTGACCTCATTTTATAGCTGGGAAAAAACACAGTCACAAAGGAGGGAAAAATCTTGCCTAAGACCCCAGTTAGTAAGTGGCAGAGCCAGGATTTAATCCAAAGTAGCTTATCCTCAGAGTCTATGTGCAAACCAGAGTGCAATAAGCCCCTGGTGGGATGGGCAGTCCAAAGATGGAGACAAAGGGAAATTCTAGCAGTGTGAATTCAAGTAGCTCTACTGAAAGTACCCACCATCAGAGTGTAAACCAGAAACTATGAAAAGCTACCTAACATCCTTTACAAACGTGCCCTCTGAAGGGAAGAATTAAGCCTTTTCACTTAGAGGAACCCAAAGGGCAGGAGGAGTTCTAAAGATGATTTTGGTCTGTCAATCATGAATGCTGTAAATGCAGATAGTGTTAAAATGTAACTTTTCATAATAAGGCACATGTTTCCTGGAAATTTTTACTTCTGCCAACAGGAATTTGTATCTGCTTCATACCTTAAGAGACCCTGTATTTAATATTCTCTGACTTAATTATTCATTGTTTCTTTCTAGAAAGCTTGGTCCTGGACACGCACTGGGTAACGTGAGCCACAAGGTGGCGCTCTAGTACAGGAAATGCACTTGTGAGCTCGGCTGGCCAGGGACTAGCATGTCAGAAACGCTCCTGGCGGGACCTCTCAACCCCTCCGCCCCGCACCTCGTCTGCCCGCCCGCAGGGTCTCTGTACTTACTTTCTGAGGAAATCTTCCAAACCCTGACGGCGCTGATCAACATGCTGGCGATTGTTCATGTTGAAAAACAGGTTTTTAGATGGAAGTTCTGGCAGTTGTCTTATGGGGAAGAAAAAAAATTTATTTTTAATGACCAATCAAGGTGACTTAGTTATAGAAATCCCCGAAAGTGAAGGCACATTAAGCATGTTAATAATTACCACGTAGCTATTATATTATTATTATATATGATATAATCAGGGTATGTAGAAATCAATTAAAGAAAAACCCAGCTTTAAACATTTCTAGGGTCTTTCATGGTCACTATTCATAAAAGTCGGTTAAGTCAAGTGGAAAATTTGAAATGCAGATGCAGAATCTACAAAACTACAGAAAGCAAGAGATTGCAATCAAGAAGAAAGCCTGTAAAATGCTTGCTATCTGATATATCTTAGTGAATATTAATTTTTAGTTATTGACTCCCACAATAAAATCTCCTCAATATACTGCTTAAATCACTTACACCAGCAATGCATTACTTTGGAGTCTTTGCCTCAGCCACACAAATTCTCTGTATCTTCTTCGCACACAGGATGTTTTCATTGTAAAACACATGCTATTAGTCTGTACGGAAAAGTAGAAAAATATGAGCCTCACCTGAGGAAAACTCAACTATCTGCCTTGCTTATATCTAACTCACAAGATGTTCATTGTAAGTAGGATGTAAACAACCAAAAATGTATTACACTTATGCTGGTACTCTGAAATCTTGTACGTAACGCACCAGTAGCTCAGCCTTGAATATGGCCAGGATAATGTAAATGAGCACTGTCACCCTGGGAAGGGCGTGGCCCAGCTACGTTCTGAGTCCTGAAGGAGACTCCGACTCTACTAACTGAGCATAGCTGTCAAGGATGAATCATTTTAAAAGATGATTTTTAAACCATTTTTATCCTTCTGGGCAGAGTGGTACACACATGTAATTCCAGCTCCCAGGAGGCAGAGACAGGAGGATGGCAAATTTAAGCCAGCTTGGGCTACATAGCAAGAGTCTTGACTCAAAAAAACAAAAACAAAATGACACACACAAAAAAAAAAAAAACAGGGCTAGAGACATGGCTCAAGCAGTAGCAAGTACAAAGCACTGAGTTCAAACCTCAGTACCTTAAAAAAAAAAAACTTATCAAAAACAAATCCCAAAATGCAAATGGCCAATAAGAGCTCAAGGTTGTGCACTGTGTTTACCTCCACCACTGTAGTGGAGGTGTCTCTGGGGATCACAGGCCACTTCCCAGAGCCCTTCACAGGACATGGCCAAGATGTGCATCTTCTGACATGGCCGTCCCTACAGACCACACCATCACTAGGAATCCAGAAGTCACCACTAAGCTAGAGAACAGCATCTCTCTGTTCTGTTAGACATGGAGCAGATGTGATCCACGTTAGGAGAACAGCTTGGGGGCACAGGGCTGAGTGTCACACAGGGCCAGGAAATCCAAGTTCCAGTGCTGGCTCTGCTCCAGAGCGCCTCACTTGAGCTTCAGTGTCTCAAGTGGTAAACAGAGTGGTCCTCAGGACGGACAGAGATAATCCACAGATGTTATCTACTAATGTTATTATTAGTTCCTAACCAGTTGTTTCCTTGCAGCTACTCTGAGACAGACTTGGGGGCAAAAAAACCACACTTACAGAGTCCCCACCCAAAGCTAAGCCACACTGTTTCTCCTCTGGGTAAACACACAATATGCAAATATTTTCCTTTGGGTAAACAAGGAACTGACAAATATCTGTGTGTACTGGTTTCAAAAAGTAAGAGCATCTCTATTTTCTCTATGTTCATGAAACCCTGTTTCATAATTTTTACATTGCCAGATGAGAAAAAAATTGCCACTAAGATCTGTATTATGTCAAAAAAAAAACCAAACAAACAAACAACTCTCTTTTTCTGATTAATAAGCTCGGCAAGTGTTTGTTTTCCCTGGGAAATCTAAGTGCTTCTGTGCATTTGTTCTTAAACTAACCCCATGAAATGTATGGGATGGGTCCTGGTATTCCTGACCTTCATAAAGTTCAAAAAAGGCTCAGGATGCAGAGAGGTGAAGACACTCAACTCCAAAACAGCCTCTGGTCTGAATCCAGCCACCCTTGATGACATGGCGATAAGACATGCTAGAAGGATCTGTGGCACAGATCTGTGGACGGTTTCAGAGCACACCAGGCCTCACGCTAATGCGCTCCTTGGGGACTAAGCCAACAGGCTGTGTTACGCTAGAATTAGTGTCCTAACGAGGCTTGGGCGGCCATCCTCTCAGTACCCTCTCCCCAGAGAGGACCAAGACACAGAGGAACTCCTGACATCTCAGGTACAGGCTAGGTCAATTTAAATCCTTTCCTTCCTGCTCAGAGTCACTGTGGGTGTCAGTAATGAAAGACCCCCCTGGGACTCCGTGAGAACAAGGTACATCTGTGAGTCTTCATTCCCAGGACAGGCTCAGGAGAATATGTACGATGGACCACCAAGCTCTATCGTCTCTTAGTTTAAATTCCAAGTAAATGTCAAGATTTCAGGGTCACCCGCTATTATTTCCCTTGAGGTCAATTTAAGCGAGTTAATCCCTAGTTCCCTGCCTGTGAAGCTCCAAGGGTGCAGCCTCTAACAGAGGCCACTGAGAACTTTGGCCCTCCATCTGCTTTTGATTGAACAAGAGGTGGAGCCCCTTCAGGATCACACTATCTATCGTGAAATCACTAACTGATTAAGTCCCTCTAAATCTGTTTGCTTGTCTTTGCTACCCACCAACTCAAGATCATTCATTACCAATTCATCAGCATTTCAGAGAAACACCACAACACTACCAAATAATATTTGTGCAGCCCATCCTTTCTGGTTCCAGACAGAGATTTCTGAATTCACGTCATGCTATTTATTAACAAAGAATAACCTATACTCTCATTATCTCCTAAAAATAATCAAACTTCATGCCTCCAATACAGTGTGTGATAGGGACTCACAATTTTTTCAAGAGCCAGGTGAAAGGAAACTAAAGAATTCCATTTTACTTCAAATGCTTGCTCTTATATGTTCGTAATTTTCCATACTGAATGTGTCTGAGTGTCTGGCATGAGCTTATAAGTAAAACCAAAGCAAAGTAAAAATAACAGCATATCCTGGCAATGGCCTACAACACAATCACCAAAAAAAAAAAAAAAATCAGAGCCAGGTGCCAGTGGCTCACACCTATAACACTAACCAATTGGAGGCTGAGATCAGGAGATCAGGAGGATCAAGGTTCAAGACCAGCCTAGACAAGTAATTTGCAAGACCCCATCTCCAAAATAACCAAACCAAAGTGGACTGTTGGTGTGGATTGACAGTAGAGAGCCTGCTTTGCAAGTGGGAAGTCCTGAGTTCAAACCCGATCCCATCAAAAAAAAAAAAAAATCAGTTCTGAGATTTTACTTGGCTTATTTTCTAAGTTGGGCAATCTTGAAAGAAAAAGAAAGGGAAAAGGAAAAAAAAAGTGTTATGGGTAGTATTGGGTACTTAATATACCAATTTAGCTGTTTGCAATGGTAAGATTAAATGATGCTAATCTTATTTCACTGTGCTCTGTAGTCACAGACAAATTCTGAGCCAAGAGAAGTCCAAACAAAAGAAGATGGGAAAAGTGACTGTCTTTAAGATCAAGGGCCAGTAAACCACAGCCGTGGGCCCGATCTAGCCTACACTTTTCTTTGCAAGGAGTATTGTGGAACATGGTTATACTCATTCTGTGCTGCCTGTGCTGCCTCCACCCTACAACAGCAGAAATGACAGCTGCCCTCAAAGCTTTTCCTGGTCCTTTCCAGGAAAAGTTTGATAACCCTTGTTCAAACTGATCATAGCACACAAAACTGTTCAAGCAATTAGGATACTATATTACTTTCAAACAACATCCATCATTTCTGGTTGTTTACACCTCATGTTAATTACTCAGATCCAGGCTAAGGCAAATCAATTGCATTTTCTGATTCTCTCTATAAAATATTATACATCTCTTTTCCCAAGAATTCTATATCCTCTCAAAACTTAAGATTTATCAGGTAATATATTACAGAAATATGTTATACTTCAGGAATCATCTTACTACTTAATTCAAAATGCATGCAATTAATTGTATCTTTCAAATTCAGTGTTTTTAAGTGTATCACGGCATCCCACACAATTGTGCTACGTGAGTGTCTATGATCTCTGCTGTGTACTTACGTGAACGCATATCTCGTAGTCAATGTAAGAGTGCCAGAAGTCCTCCTTCTGAATCCTGGGATCTCGGACCCAGACGCTTACGAATTCCTGTATGGGCATCATAAGCAAAGAAATGGCTTTCAGAACCGCAAGGAAGGCAGGAAGGGGCTGAGAGAAATGGCGATCCTAGAACCAGACTGAAATGCGTTTTTGCCAGTGTGTGTCATGAGAAAACAAGAAGTAAGTCAATGAATCAGGCACCACGAGCAAGTCCAGAAAACACTTTTGCCACAAATGGAATTTTCCAAATAATGCAAAACCGAGCCCAGCAGGCTTATGGACAGTGTTACAGGTTGTCTGAAGACGAATAAGAAAGTATACTCTAAAACTGATGGTCATGAAAAATCAGTCCACATTTCCTCAAATTTTAAATGTGGTCAATACTTACTTTCAACATCTCTAAATGCTAACTACAGGCCCTGCCTGGCTAATGGCCAATTGCTTTCTAAAACATGTAACAAGGAAAGGTGACAAAGGTCATGTGAAAAGGAAGCAATGAGAGTTGAAATTGACCACTGTGTGTGTGTGTGTGTGTGTGTGTGTGTGTGTGTAAAGCCTCATGAGAATACTAGTAACAGAAAGATGAACTTTATACAAAACTTTTATACAGCTTTGATACAAACTTTTCTATTTTTAAAATATATTTCCCCACATAGTAAATCATTTCATCTTCATATCCTTGTGTTACAAGTAAAAGTTAGAGAGGTTATAAAAGACATATGCAGTGGATAATTTTCCTTTTAAAAGATAATATAATAGAACACATGAGGTAAAATTTAAAATAATACTTTTCAAGAAGTGCTCTTAACTAAGTAGATGTAATGTAAAAATATGAGAATGGGTACAGCAAAAAATAGATTTGCCATGATAAATTTTAATGTGTAACTTCTTCATTCAGCAACATGAAAAATCAGTCCACATTTCCTCAAATTTTAAATGTGGTCATACTTACTTTCAAATCTCTAAATGCTAACTACAGGCCCTGCCTGGCTAATGGCCAATTGCTTTCTAAAACATGTAACAAGGAAAGGTGACAAAGGTCATGTGAAAAGGAAGCAATGAGAGTTGAAATTGACCACTGTGTGTGTGTGTGTGTGTGTGTGTGTGTGTGTGTAAAGCCTCATGAGAATACTAGTAACAGAAAGATGAACTTTATACAAAACTTTTATACAGCTTTGATACAAACTTTTCTATTTTTAAAATATATTTCCCCACATAGTAAATCATTTCATCTTCATATCCTTGTGTTACAAGTAAAAGTTAGAGAGGTTATAAAAGACATATGCAGTGGATAATTTTCCTTTTAAAAGATAATATAATAGAACACATGAGGTAAAATTTAAAATAATACTTTTCAAGAAGTGCTCTTAACTAAGTAGATGTAATGTAAAAATATGAGAATGGGTACAGCAAAAAATAGATTTGCCATGATAAATTTTAATGTGTAACTTCTTCATTCAGCAATATAAATTTGCTGAATAAAGAATATTAATTTCAAATATTTTGACTTTTTCGTAAGATGGGGGCTTTGAAGCCTCTTCCTGTTTTGTTTTAGCACATCTGAGATGCAGGATGAGGCCAAACCTGATACTCTGCCCTTAGTCTTTGCTTTTCACGTGGTCCTTTTCCCGCTTTCCACATACACACAGCTCGTAGAAGGAATCAATCAATCATTAATGAATCAGTGAACAGAAAGTCGGTTAAGGAAGAAAAGACGGTGAGTGGGGAGTAGACCAGTGGCGTCCACACACACACCGCAATGCACATGTGTGCTGGCTTTCATGGCTCTTCGGCGCCTTTGCCCTCACGGGCCCTTTCCTCCACTGCAAAAATAATCATACTTTATAACAACTACTCGGGTACAAAGATGACTATATTAGGATCTATTAAGTCCCTTCTTTGATCTAAAAGTTCATTCTTCTGATTTTAAAAGGAATTAAAACACTTTTCAGTGACCCCAAAAATGCCCTGGGCACTGTGCTTAGCGGAGGACCCACGAACAGCAGCTCCCAGTCACCAGGTCACATGGAGGGCACACTCCCCTGGAGCGTGCTGGCATCACCACTTTTCCATTGAAGAGGCGGAAGTTCTTGGATGGACCAAAACGAGAAACTCTTTCCACCCGCTCAATGCCCACATTAATGTTAGAAGGAAGACAGGCGCCTGTTACTAAAATAGTGAATCTTCTACAGAAATGGAAAGACAGAGAAATGCATTTGCTAATCTACTACAAATTTGTGACTTGAAAACAGGGTGTGGGGGAAATTCTGAACTCAAACTGTAAAATCTACCACTACTACAACACCATGTACTCGTACTGACCGTTCTAAAAACTAGAAATAAGTGAAGACTTTTCTCCCCATTTGCTCACTACGGCCTAAGTGTTAACACATCAACTTTGAAGAAAGAGTCTACCCCTTTTCTGGAAAGGGCCATGAACTGCAAGTCACAGGAGTAGAAGTAAATTTTGGCTCACCCACTTCCTAAGATTAAGAACTCATTCACCAAGTCTTGGTTTCTACATCTGAAAAATGGGAATAATTACTGCTCAACCTATTTCAAGTGTTTATTAGCTAGATCAAATTATAAAATTCTAGGCATTTGTCCTGTGCTTCTGTAGGCCTGCTAGGGTAGTATTGATTTCCATTTGCTTCTGCATTCTATAGTAAATTTAAAGAGAGATACCATTTTTTTTCAACCATCCAAAGTAAATGTTCATTCGTCTCTACCTTAGTGCCTTCCTGACTGCGCGGAGCTATCAGTCAGGAGGACATAGAAAAGAAATGAGAAACAGGCAAAAATCCACGATTAAAGTAGCTGGAAAATGATCAGATTTATAAAATCCTTGTCCTACTCAGGAGGCAGAGATCAGAAGAATCGCGGTTTGAATCCAGGCCCCGGGAAAATAGTTCAGGAGACCCTATCTTGAAAATACTCAACACAAAAAAAAGACTGGCAGAGTGGCTCAAATGATAGAGTCTGCCTAGCAATCATGAGTCCCTGAGTTCAAATCCCAACTCCACCAAAATAAATAAATAAAATAAAACGTAAAAGCCTTGAACTGCACTAGTTACCAACTTAATCAGATAACATTTTTTTAAAAAATTATAAAATTCTAGTGCAAGAACCAGGAAATTTTACATTTGCTTCAGTGTGAAGTGTAATTACGTTGAAAGAAAAGGCTTATTAGCCCAAAACACACAGACACTAGCATTAAGAAATTAGGAAAAACAAACCGATGGCATATCTTTTTTGAAGTAAAAATTATTAATTTAAGAGCAAGTAGCAAATCCTCAAACAGCAATTTTTCACCAAGAGACACAGCACCGTCAAGATTTCAAAGCACCTGCCCACAGCAGCACTTTCATTATGGACACCATAATGAGAAATTATGGTAGAGAATTTTTTCCTCATCAATGGGATGGAATTCTTTCTCCACCTTGATTGTGACTCCAACAGTATAATCTTTACTAAGGGCGTGGCATGTGGAATACATACCCTACAAATGTGCTAGAAAAAAAAAAGGTCCGTCTCCTAAGAACACAGCAAGACGCGTTAAATGCACACTCAGAATCCACTGCTGAACAGTTGTTTTCAAGTTGAATGTCTTTAACTTGGCTGGGGTGCTAAACAAGTATCCCTATTCCTTTGTGGATGTTGAACTTTTCCTCCTTCTCTGCTCCCTGGGCGTGTACCTAGACTGCTGTTCTTTATCCCTACTGCAATTTGAGGGCTGATGACGCCACAGCCCCTCCTCATCCAGGCATCCCTCCCACGTAGCCAGCTTCAGAGCAGAAGGCCCATGAGCCCTCAGCATCCGAGCCCTTCCCCTATCCTTCTCTTCCTTGTCTCATAAGGAGCCTCCTTATCATCTCCAACCAAAGACCCAGTTCCGCCAGACTTCTCTTTGACTCACCCCTAAAACCCACACAGGTCAAGTCCCTCAGAATCTCCCTTCTTGGAACCACCTCCATCTCTGTTCCCTCTGCTCCTGCCTCCCTTCCAGGACCTCCAGCAAGGTAAGAGCAGCTAATTGACATCTGGGCCATATCCAATGCATCCCCCACACTGAGACAAGAATGGCTTCAACGTATACAGCTGGTGATGTCACTTCCCTGCATAAAATCCATCAGAGGTTGCCTGTAATCTTCAAGATCAAGTTCAGACTCCTTAGCCAATACAGGCTTTCATGACTTCTACCTATGTCCAAAGGCAAAGCTTCCGTCCCTAATACACATGCCATCTCACCTCTGTGCATTTGAACATGCTCTTCTCCCTGCCCGAATTGCTGTCCCCAGCCCACTTAGTTTTTTTCCTTTTCTTTATGTATATATATATTTTTTTCTAACTCCAGTTCTCTTCTTTGCAGTGCTGGGGATGGAACCCAGGACCTTGCGAGTGCCACACACGTGCTCTACCACTGGACTTCACTGGTTACATCCCCAGCTCGCCAATTCATTTTTCAAATGCAACTTGGTCACTGCTCCCTCTGCAAACCCTTTTCACATTCACCACTCTGACTGGCTTGGCTCTCTTCTGGGCTCCTACCACCCCCAGGCATACCCTGGACACAGTCTTACTCCAGCACCCTGCCACCCCTGGGGGCCTCGTCTACCTGGTCCTGTGCCTGTCTTTTAAGAGCTGAGGGCCTGATGCCTCCAATGCACTCCATTAATATCAATTAATGAACAAATGAATGTCTTCAGAGGAAAAAAAACAAAATTAAACTTCAGCTGAAATAAAAACCTCATCCATATGGGTTCTTGGACTCCATATATTAATGTAAGTTATTTCACAGCTGGCCTAAAGTTTATCTTAATTTAACAAGCCCCTTCCTCTAAGGGTGTGCCAATTAACAGCAGAAGGCTGCCCAGCAATGTTTCAGATCTATGAGAACAAACTGTTTCCAGCACCCTAAAGAACCTCAGAAGTGCCTATTTACATAGAAATAATTGAAAATCATTCTGATGGCGTCAATAACTTTTCCCCTAAGACTTGTACCAGGCAACAATCTGTTAGCCTAGTTGGACTTAAAATACACTCAAATG